AGAGAGATAATATTTAGATTTGAAGAATGCCCAAAATGCATTTTAAGAGCATGGAACATTGTTTTTTTTGTGTGTTACAAAATAAAACATATTTTGAATGAACTATAAATGATTCCTTTCTAAAAAAAGCTGTAATTTTGTATCTGCACTCATTCTTTTTCATAATAATTCAACATAGATCTATTGTAGAAGACCACTGTTAGAATAAGAGCCCCTCACCTCCAGAAGAGGGTGGTCTGGGAAAAGAGAACAGGTGTGTCCATCAGGCCCCATTCCCAACAGCAATAGGTCAAACACAGGGAAGTCATCATCTGGGAAGACCTGTGTGTTTTAACAGCGAAAATAATGATGTAAAAATTCTGCAGACACTAAAATCTAAAAGCCTGTGATTGCTGTGTACCTCTTTCAGTTTACGCGTGTAATCCTCAGCGCACTCGTTCACTGGCAGAGAACAGTCGATCGTCAAGATCCCACTTTCGGGGATGTTGATCTTGGAAAATAACTGACTCTGCAAAAAGATGAAAAGGTCTGCAGTTTATCCAACTGTAACAGAGCAACATACATTTATGTTAACACAAACACCAATTCAAAGAAACCTTGTATAGCCCGTAGGTGCTCTCTGGATCGTCAAAGGAAACCAGGCGCTCGTCGCAGAAGCCGACCAACCACTTGCTGCAGTCCAGCTCTGACAGGGCAAGCAGCTCTTTGCTAAGCATGGACACAAGGCTTCCTCCAGAGAGTCCCAGAGTGAACCTGCCATGAGAGCCGATGGCCTTCCCAGCCCGTGAAGTCACCAGCTGGGCCAGGACTGGACCGAGCTCTGCTGATGAGGGGAAGACCAGGACTCTCCTTCCAGCCATGACTACACTCTGTGAGAAGGGAGAAGGACTGACAAAGTAAGAGAGAAGAAAAGTGAACAACATATAAGGAAGTCAGTTACCAAACAGTTTTGCAAGTCATCATGCTATCTCTGTAAATGTGATTTACTCAGTCGTTTAATTTAATTTATTTTTAATTTTACACTGTTGTGAAGCTGTTATTTTTGCACTACTTTGACCAAACTTAATTGGCTTGTCTTGTGATTAGACCACTCAAAAAAAAAGAAAATAAAAAGAAAGCCATTAACGCAAGAGCAACAAAGCATCGCATCTTAAACCAACCAGCCTCGCAGGGCAACCTTTACCTCTACAAGTTCCCTCATAGTGACATTCATTTACCTTGTAGTTGGAATCTCTGAGGCAGATTATCGTGAGGATTTTCAGTTGGCAAATGGGCAAATGTAATTCACCACACTGCTTCCTGAAGCGAGTTTTCACCCACCAATCACATTCCGATTGATAACGTGCTGCATTCTGGTTAGCGTAGTCCCGAACAACAACCACGACGTCAAATGCGTTAAAAAGTAAACGTAGGTTGCAATGAGCAAATCGCCGCGGAAGCTGTGGTAACTTTTACAGATCAACAATCATCCCTGATGTCAAAGCAGGACTCTTTGTCAACATTAGCGCTAATTTTAAAGTTTTGTGTGTAATTGCGATGTTTCCTCCCAGCCGACAGATGGAAACACTGAACCCACTTCAGCCCCACTCGAGTTTTGGAGCGACACTCACGCGCACCTCGAAGGCATGCACATGCAGCTTTTCTCCTGCATTACATTTCAACAACATTTTTGCTGTGGCCATTAAGACCCCGTGACAGCGTCAGGTCGTTCGCGTGAAACTACTGGACCGTGACGGGAAAGCCAAAACAAAACAAACAGAAATCATGTCGACAGTCTTCTCTTTCCAGACACAGCTCGTCTCCATCATGGATGCGTTATCCAAAACAGCTGTAATGGAAATAAGCAAACTGGTCGAAATCGAGTCAAAGATGCTCAAGATCGAGATAACTCGCGGGCGCAACGAAATCGCCTCGCTTACAGAGAAACTACAGCTGATGGAGAAGCTGCTTTATATGGCACAGGGGGGCAGGCAGGATGCGACAGAAGTCAGCTTAGTTGGAAGGGACGGTTTAGAAAACGGAGTACTGGAGACTGAAAGGACAAGACTTGAAATTAAAAGGTAGGTATGTTGCTTTGTATGTATATTATGGAACGTAGCTGTTTGCTGTGTTCTCCTTGCTTGGTGTGTTTAATCTCAGTGTTTTTGCATCCTAGTGAAAGCCTGTGGGAAAGTTTTTCTTCTGAGACTGGCAGTTTGCATCAAGGTGAAGAGTATGCTGCAACAGAAGTAAGTCTGCAATAACCAGCCATTTATTTCTTGTTATCATAGCTGATTACTCTGTGGCTGATATTTATAACCAATGCCCTTTCCCCCCTGTCTTATCAGCTTCCAAACCAACCCAAAGAGCACCCGGAACTGGTAGTGGTGAAAGAGGAGCCATGTGAGGTGGACAATGGAAACACTCAACAAGACAGGACAGCTGAAAACAGTGACTATAAATTTGCTTATTATGTCGGATTGCACAGCTGTATGTGAAATTCACGAGGACTTTCAGTAACCATGCTGGATTTGACCTTTCTGCTCATCATAGTTGTACTAAATTGTCATAACTGTTAAACCTTCTATCATCAAGGTCATTTCTACAAAAAGAAAATCGAAATTTTAACTTGTACGTCTACTTTCAACAGGAAGAGAAACAGTCACAGACGCCCAGAAGGCTCCAAATGTGATGCAGCGTCCCAAACACATTGCAGACCACCAGCAGCCACTGTTTACTGATAGCTTTGTGCCTCTAAGCTCCCTGCCATCTCTCAGTGAAACAGTGAGGGGGGAAACGCACTGGAACCCACAGCTTACACCTGCCGACACAACCCTAGAAGTTGGGAAAAGCTTGGCTCAAAATATAACCTCCCAAAGCTTAAGTGTGCTCAGAAATATGAAGCTTCATAACTTGAGGAACTCAACCACTAAGAGGTTTGGCTGCTTGCAGTGTGGCAAGAGCTTCAGATGCTTTAGTCAGCTTGAAATACACCAGAGAAGCCATACTGGGGAGAAGCCGTTCAGATGCACACTATGCGGAAAGCGATACGCACAAAAAGGACACCTGTATACACATCAGCGTACGCACACTGGGGAGAAGCCGTATCGTTGTCCTGTTTGTGGAAAGGGCTTTATTCAGAAATGCACACTCGATATGCATCAGCGTACACACACTGGAGAAAAACCCTTTATTTGTATCAAATGTGGCAAAGGCTTTACAAAGAACTGCAATCTGAAAAAACACCTCGCAGTACATCTTGATCCTACTTCGAATGTATATGGTAGTGACTCCAGTGCACCAACATTTAGTGGGACATTTGTAAATGGAACCTCTTAAGACATCAATCATATGTAACATCTGTAGTTTTTGTTCTGGAAAATAAAGTTATATTTGTTCCAGAGTTGAGTTTTTGATGCTTGCTTTTCAAATGGTTTAATATTTTGGATGCATTTACTGTGTGTGTGTGTGTGTGTGTGTGTGTGTTTTGTTTTAAAAAAATTTACTCTAAGTTACACAGTTGCATATTTACATTTTTAAGTCAGGGAAACACAAGTAAAGCATTTGGCAGCATTTTCCTTGGGCTGGCATTACTTGAGATGGTTCAGACCCACAACAGAAATTTGTGACTTGTCCATACCCATCTGAGATTGTGGGCTTAATGTGATGTTTATATTAGTTAATTAAATTAGCTATACAGATATATACAATGTGTACGCTATATAATAACTATATGCGGTGAAGAAATGGTTAGCAATGTTGACTCAGAGTAAGAAGGTTCCTGAATAGCTGGGGCCTTTCCCTGAGGAGTTTACGTGTTCTCCCTGTACTTGGATGGTTCCCAGGTGCTCCGCCTTCATCCCACAGTTCAAAGTTGTGCATATAAAGCACGGTTGTGAATCTGTGGTGACTGACTGCCTTTCTGGTAGCTCTTACTGTGATGGACTTGTGAGCTGTCCACACCTATTGTCCTGTCTTAGCTGGAATAGAGACCTCTATGACCCTTGGCTGGACAAGAGGTTAAGAAAATTGATGAATGGAACTATCGTACACATATCAATATTTTTTTTTTTATCCACAGATTATTTAACTTCAGTTTGTCAACCTGTTAAGGCCACTCCCTTGACAGGTTGACACTCTTTTGCAAGATTAAAAAGGGGCTAGAAACCTGTTCATGCACACATTCAAAACTATGACCATTAAGGTCACCCATGCATGTCTCTGGATGGTGGGAGGAAGCCAGAGTACTCGGAGACCAGAGAAGCACAGGAAGAACATTGCTATCCAGTGGACCACTGTGCCATCTATATCACCCATTCACAAAACAATCATATTTAACAGAAAATATTCTTAAGCTTAAAAAAATTCTGAATTAAGGATTTTAAAGTACTTCATTGTTACCACTAGAGGGATATGATTCTAATAGAGTGATTTAAAAAGCCATATCAATGAAACTATTATCGTCCCAGTTTCTACTATTAACTAACATTCACAAAATGAATGAATGAATGTTCTTCATAGTGATACTCATTTTGCTAAAAGTCACACCGATACTTATCATGCTGGCAACAAAGTTGTGTTGCAGATTTTAACAGTGACCGAGAGAGGGCGCTCAACATTACTGTGTATATTCTAAATAAGTACAGACGCGGTGAGAATAAAATAAAAAGATACATTTATAATTTGCTCGTTGTATGTAAATTCACAGTGGTTCCTTGCCATCGCAGGGCTGTGAATTGCACGGACAGTGTGGTGGAGAGGTTGGCAATAAGGTGTGATTTTAAAGAGATGTCTTTATTTCCACATATATTGTTATAATAGGGAGATAAAACATCTGTGCAGGCAGAAAACATATTCTAATGTTGCGTTGAATTTTCCACTGTGTTGTCTTCAGCAGCTTGGGGGTGGGGGCGAAGAAAGCGTGTTCCCACAATTCCTTGCGGCACAGCTGTACATTTCATATTTGATTAAAGGAGCTGCGTTCCTACGCTGAGAATCGTTTCAATATTTCCAAATACTGAGCCTCGCTGACGAAATGATGTGCGACACCACAAACCGCAGTTTTAGGACGCAGCTGGCCGTTATTCTGGATAAGCTAACAAAGGCGGCTCTGGTTGAAATAGGCAACCTGGCTGATGAGTGCTCCTCCGTCCTTCACACCGAGATATCCCTGCACAAGACGGAGAACGAGGCGCTGAAGAAGAGGTGCTACTCTTTGGAGGTCCAGCTAAGAGCAGCGAGGGAGGCACAGACGTACCCCGAACATGTCAACAACAGCGTCAGTCGCCGGGATCGGCACCCTGCAGGTAAGAAATCGGTGCAGACTGGTACATACCAGAGGGCTTCCACATCCTGCATGATATTTATAGTATGGGGCTAGAATTACAGTGGACCGAATAGCTTTATTGCATATAATCTCTTCTGAGATTCTGCTCTGCATACTGGTGATCATCATTCTCCAGCAAGTCCCAATGTTGCATGTTTCTCTTCTTCCAGAACAGCACCAACCTGCTCCAGCCATTGATGGAGTTTTTGGGAAGGACTGGTGCATGGACTTGTGGAGAGAAGAGAAGCTGCCCTCTCAAAGAAGAGAACCAGTGGAAACTGCCGCTACAACCAGCATGGGAGCTGCGGTTGGTGAATCAGTTGCAGTCTGGGTTTAACTTTTGTATTTGTAACAAGCAGCAAACTAGCTGAATGATTGCTGTGTTCATAGCTACTTGTCATTTCTTGTTGGTAGGCAATCAATATGATGGAAAGAGAACCTGATCTGATTTTTGTCAAGGAGGAGATGTATGATGATTATCCCATTGGACAGCAGAGGAGGCTCACAGACAACAGAAAAAGTAAGTGCATATTAAAAAGACACCAAACGCAAGTCAATCCTGTCCTGTGTGTGTGTATTGGTTTACAGTGGCTCTCTTTTTAACAGTTGTTGGGATGTTTGAAGAGGACAGCATGCTTCAAAGATCTGTTGATGATCTCCAACTTCACTCGGGGGAATTGAACAACTTCTCTATGACGACTGACAGTGAAATACAGCAACGCGCACAGCCGACAATTATGGACAAATTAATAGACGATGCGGCGATGGGTGCTCTGATTGACAACACAAATCCTCCTTCAGTTGCCACAGAATACTCAGACTATACGAACAGTATTCACATGAACGCAACCAAAGAACTCAACCTTCAGGAAAAACCGGTGAAGCCAACCAAACAGTTTGAGTGTTTATTTTGTGGAAAAATATTCAACTATTTAAGCAGCCTGAAAGTCCACATTAGGCGACACTCAGGCGAGAAGCCCTTCAGCTGCCCAGTGTGCGGAAAGAGGTTTGCACAGAAGACGTACCTGAAACTGCACCAACGTGTGCACTCGGGTGAAAAGCCGTACAGCTGTCCAGACTGTGGAAAAAGCTTTTCTCAGAAAAGTTCTTTGAATATACATATCCGGACACACACGGGTGTAAAGCCTTATAGCTGTGTGGATTGTGGGAAATGTTACGCGTACAAGTATGGTTTAAATCACCACCAGTGTTTCAATTTGTCAGTCAAACCAGAAGCTTTTGACAGAAGTGCTCTCAGTATCACCCACAGTTGCTCATCATCTGCCAACATGTCCATATAACCCTCAACGTGGTTTAAAAACATTATAAAGATTTGAAATACTTGTTCTATTACAAAACCAACTTTAATGCCCATGTGGTTACCATTGCTTTTAGCTTTGTTACAAATGCAAATTCAGCAACAGCCAACAACAGTATGGGAAATACGTGTCCTTTTTTAAATGAGCCATTAGACTGATGGGATTCAGTTTGACTGGTTGGAGTCCCCAAGACATTTCACATCACGCTTAACAAGGAAATTATCAAAAATGAGAGAGAACTTCTGATCCATGATGAAAAAACAAAAACAAAAAAAAAGCTTCACTGGCTTCTCATCCATGCACGTGTAACATGTTTAAATACCTCATGTTTCAGACCACAAAAGGCTTGCCCAAGCTGGCGGCAAAATAATTACTTTAGGCAGGTTCTCCATGATTTGCACATGTGTAGCATAAACCTTCAAACTACCTCTTCACATCAAAATAGAAGTAGATTAAATCAGTTTGTGTCATGTTTTATATTCCACATATGCCTAGACTTATTTTTAGGCAACATACATTGTTTCTTTGAAAAAAATGTTATTGATATTTAAAAAAAATGCTTGTTTGTCATATAATATTTGAATGAATTTCAAAAAGTTTTAAGATTAAGTAGTGTTACTGTTTGAAATAAATATTTATATTGTGTCGAACTGTCTTAATGTCCAAACTGAGATTTACAAATGTTCCTGTAATAATTGCCCTGAACAGTCTACGCTGACCCAGCTCAGTGAATTATATTTACCAAAGAAAAATCTGTTCCTGAAACTCCTCCCCTTTGTACTCACATGCATGTTCACCGTTATAAACCTTGTTACTAAAACTGACAAATTTGTGAGTTTTGAACAAAAAAAGCAACTTTAAAAAGTAAAAAAATGTAAGAAATTATATCATAATGTAAACATTTGCATTTTATTTGTAAAGTCAAAACACCAAACTACTAAAATATTTTTCTTCCATACAAGAGTTTTTAAGCACAACACTACAGACTACAATTTATTACAGACATAACATTAACAATCCTTTTGCTAAAGTTTTAAAACCGTAGAAGAGGTGTCAAAGTTGATAAGTTACTTCAGTTTGTTACTGACTGATTGCTGCTATCATGTTCTTCACGTGTCTCCTAGGTATGGGCCTCTCGCCTACAACCTCTCGATTTATATGTGCCATTAAATGATGGTTGAGGTTCACCTTCTGCGTGAAGGATTTCCCACATTTAACACAGCGGAACGGTCTCTCGCCCGTATGGATGCGCAGATGACACTTCAGATTGCCTTTCTGGGTAAACCCTTTCCCACATAAGCTGCACCTGTGGGGTTTCTCACCTGTGTGGACAACGTAGTGAATCCTCAGAGCCGATGGGTTGGCAAAGCTCTTCCCGCACAACTCGCACGACTTACTGATTCTGTGAGATGGAACTGGAGGCAGGCAGCTGTGTGAGTTTAACTTGTTCCTGTGCGGGAAGTGTTGCTTACAGATGCTGCAAAAGTTTGACTTGTGTGACTTCATGTGGTGTGTTAGAGTGCCCTTGTGAAAGAATGTCCTGTTACATATTTGACAAGTAAATCTCTCTCTGTTTTGATTTCTGGAAGTTTCTGTGTTGCGCACATTAAAGTCATCGTGAGACTCTTTATCCACAGCAGAGTCTTTTTCTGTACTGTCTACTGGCATTGTTTGCTGCTCGTCATGGCTGGGCCCAACTTCAGTAGTGTTTACTGCTGGTTCCTGCTGA